GGGCTTGGCCCCTTGGTTCCAGTGAAAGGAAATCTTAACTCTACAGCATACAATTACATTCTAGACGATTCTGTGCTTCACACTTTCTGGCAACAGTTTTGAAAATACCCTTTCCTTTTTCAGCATGATAAAGCCCCCGTGCACAAAGCGAGGTCCATAAAGAAATGGTTTGTCAAGATCAGTGTGGAAGAACTTGTCTAGCCTGCACAGAGCCCTAACCTCAACCCCATTGAACACCTTTGGGATGAATTGGAACGCCGACTGCGAGCCAGGCCCAATCGCCAGTGGTGGAAAAAGTACTCAATTGTCATACTAATAGAAAATGACTCAAGTAAAAGTGAATGTCACCCAGTAAAATACTGCTTGAGTAAAAGTCTAAAAGTATTTGGTTTTAAATATACTTAAGTATCAAAAGTAAATGGAATTGCTAAAATGTACTTAAGTTTCAAAAGTAAAAGTATAAATCATTTCAAATTCCTTATATTAAGCAAACCAGACGGCACCATTTTCATGTTTTTTTAAATTGACGAATTGCCAGGGGCACACTCCGACATACACTCAGACATAATTTACAGGTGAAGCATTTGTGTTTAGTGAGTCCTGCAAGATCAGATGCTGTAGGGATGACCAGGGCTGTTCTCTTGATAAGTGTGTGAATTGGACAATTTTCCTGTCAAAATGTAACGAGTACTTTTGGGTGTCACAGGAAAATGTATGTACATTATTTTATTTCAGAATGTAGGGAAGTAAAAGTAAAAGTTGCCAAAAATATAAATAGTAAAGTAAAGTACAGATATTCCCAAAAACTACTTAAGTAGCACTTTAAAGTATTTTTACTTAAGTACTTTACAACACTGATGACAGCTTTGCACACTCTTGGCATTCTCTCAACCAGCTTCATGAGGTAGTCACCTGGAATGCATTTCAATTAACAGGTGTGCCTTCTTAAAAGTTAATTTGTGGAATATCTTTCCTTCTTAATGCGTTTGAGCCAATCAGTTGTGTTGTGACAAGGTAGGGATGGTATATAGAAGATAGCCCTATTTGGTCCATATTATGGCAAGAACAGCTGAAATAAGAGAAGAGAAAGGACAGTCCATCATTAATAAGACATGAAGGTCAGTCAATACGGAACATTTCAAGAACTTTGAAAGTTTCTTCAAGTGCAGTCGCAAAAACCATCAAGCGCTATGATGAAACTTGCTCTCATGAGGACCGCCACAGGAAAGGAAGACCCAGAGTTACCTCTGCTGCAGAGGATACGTTCATTAGAGTTACCAGCCTCAGAAATTGCAGCCCAAATAAATGCTTCATCGAGTTCAAGTAACAGACACATCTCAACATCAACTGTTCAGAGGAGACTGCATGAATCAGGCCTTCATGGTCGAATTGCTGCAAAGAAACCACTACTAAAGGACACCAATAAGAAGAAGAGACTTGCTTGGGCCAAGAAACACAAGCAACGGACATTAGATTGGTGGAAATCTGTCCTTTGGTCTGATGAGTCCAAATTCGATATTTTTGGTTCCAACCGCCGTGTCTTATGAGACACAGAGCAGGTGAACGGATGATCTCTGCATGTGTGGTCCCACCATGAAGCACGGTGGAGGAGGTGTGATGGTGCTTTTCTGGTGACACTGTCAGTGATTTATTTTGAACTCAAGGCACACTTAACCAGCATGGCTACCACAGCCTTCTGCAGCAATACGCCATCCCATCTGGTTTGTGCTTAGTGGGACTATAATTTGTTTTTCAACAGGACAATGACCCAACACACCTCCAGGCTGTGTAAGGGCTATTTGACCAAGGAGAGTGATGGAGTGCTGAATCAGATGACTTGGCCTCCATAATCACCTGACCTCAACCCAATTGAGATGGTTTGTGATGAGTTGGACCGCAGAGTGAAGGAAAAGCAGCCAACAAGTGCTCAGCATATGTGGGAACTCCTTCAAGAAAAGCATTCCAGGTGAAGCTGGTTGAGAGAATGTCAAGAGTGTGCAGAGCTGTCATCAAGGCAAAGGGTGTTTACTTTGAAGAATCTAAAATCTATTTTGATTTGTTTAACACTTTTTGGGTTACTACATGATTCCATATGTGTTATTTCATAGTTTTGATGTCTTCACTATTATTCTACAATATAAATAGTAAAAATAAAAACAAACCCTTGAATGAGTAGGTGTGTCCAAACTTTTGAATGGTACTGTATATTTTTTAAATAAAACAGATTTTCACTCTTCTCAGTAATGCATATGTAATGGAAAATGGCTGCATTCTTGTTAATATGATTTCCTGTTTGATTTTTATGAATAAGCTTTTCATCATATCCCCAATTTGCACAAATTACTTACTTGCCAGCTTGCAATACAATATTTCAACCACTAGCAGATGTACATATGCATGGTCTAAAGTTTGCAGGGAGGTGAGCACATTCTCATGTCAAGTTAATTTTTATAAATGCTAACTTTTGAGTGAAAAATAGCGCATGCACATTTTGGGGTATATTTTGTACTTACGTCACGGTTTATTAATGAGGCCCCTGGAGTTTGCAAAAAGGCACGTGAAAGACTGATCATAAGGCAAAAGATTCCATGAGCTGATGAGACAAAAATTAAACTCTTTGGCCTGAATGCAAAGCACTATATCTGGAGAAAACCAGGCACAGCTCATCACCCGTCTAACACCATCCCTACTGTGATGCATGGTGGTTCCAACAGTACAATGACCCCAAGCATACAGCCAAAGCAACACTGGAATGGCTTCAGAACAAAAATGTGAATGTTCTTGAGTGGCCCAGCCAAAGCCCAGACTTGAATCCCATTGAAAATCTGTGGAAATATCTGAAGATTGCGGTTCACCGCCGCTCCCCATCAAACTTAACGGAGCTTGAGAAAATCTGCAGGGAAGAATGGTAGAAAATCCAGATGTGCAAATCTGATACAGACATACCCAAGACGACTCAACGCTGTAATCGCTGCCAAAGGTGCTTGAGTGGTGTGAATACTTAAGTAAATGAGCTATTAGTATTTAATTTTCAATCAATTTGCATACATTTCTAAAAACATGTTTTTACTTTGTCATTATGGGGTATTGTGTGTAGATTGGTGAGAAAAATACATTTTGAATTCAGGCTGTAACAAAATGTGGAATAAGTCAAGGGGTAATACTTTCTGAAGGCACTGTCATCATGCGAGTGTCTAGTCAGCTAGTGCTTTCAGTGTCTACAACATACAATACAACCCATTCAGCAACAAAGATCAGGCATGTTTATCATTCCTCAAATACTTTTTTATTGTGTATATCCATTTTAATGTTACGTAATTTCCTTCAGTAATGAAATGTCTTAGAAAAACAAACTGATAAATGACATCGTCTGGGTGACCAGATTTTTCAATGGTCATCGGAATAATTTAAAATGGACTCACCACAGATGGATGTCTAAATCATCATATTAAAAAGTTATAGTAGTAATTACAACTACAATTTAAAATAGAGGCTTGTCCAGTACAAACATTAAATGGATGAACGCATTACCTTTAAGTACAGAAAAGTCAAGTCCCCAGTAGAGTTAAAAGACACATTATCTAACAGCAACAACCAATCCTAACAATTCTTGATTAATAACATCAACAACCAATCCAAACATTTCAGTTCATCAGACTGTACCAATTAGAACTGGAGGTTTTTGGTAGCATCCATGGCCTTGCGCTAGCCAGCATTTATCCAGCTAAAGGGTAAGAAAACACCAGCCTATCATGGCATGCAGTAGCACTTTATAACAGAATCAGCTTCCACTTAGTCAGTGCCTTACTAATACAATAAAGTATGTGATTGGTAACTGTTTTACCTTATTCTGCATTAATAGTGTCTCTCACAGAAAAAAAGGTTCTAAAAAAAACATATATTCTGTCAGATATAAGGGATAAGCAAAAAGTGTGCAAGAATCCAGTTGTGTCCTCCGTAAAACCAAGCAGTCTTCAAAACACTTCCCAGTCACGCATTAATGACTTTCACTGTTTTTTTATGTTTTATGGCATCAGTGGCATGAGTCGTAATCAAACTATGTAACAAAGAGCTACCAAGTGTACAGGCAGTTTGTAGACAAAATCAATATCTAGAAATGCTATTCCTCTGAAATGGTAGGAGAGCTTTATTATTCGTTTTACTATATAAATGGAGTCGTATTAGATTTACTGAAAGAATACATAAAAAACAACATAGTAAAACAAAAAACTTTGTATAGCTTATACAACTTGAGAGGTTTCTAGGATGTCCGTACGACATGCTTTTTTCTTCAATATGCTGAATAGTTGGCAACACTGACATCTTAAAATGTCAAGAGTTTTATCTTGTACAGTTCCAAGTCACATGTGATACATGCAAACGTAATATATATATATATTAAACCCAACAAAACATCCATGTTGACCACATTGTAGCAGACTTGGCTCCTTAGTCAAGACAGACTTAGTTGAGTGGCGGTCCAGTCTTCCATCCAGCATAGCTGCTCCACAGAAACCGCTCAGATATGCTCAGAAGTGTGTGCGTCAGAGGTCCTTATAATGGATCAGAACCGCATCCTTCTGAAAGGCAGCAGAAATGTGACAAGCACACATGCACACAGAATTCAACTGCTCATCTGTGCACAAAACACAGACACAATCTTCGAGTACATTCAAGTGGTCCACTGTAGCTCAGTTGGTAGTGCATGGTACTTTCCAGCTAGGATAGTGGGTTTGATTCCCGGACCACCCGTATGTAAAATATATGCATGCATGACTAAGTCGCTATGGATAAAAGCATCTGCTAAATGGCATATATTATTATTATTATTATTATTATTATTATATCTGTCCATCATCCCTCCATCTCTCTCACACAAATCACCACGCTGTTTCAAATGATAAAACAACTAAATACACAAAAAGAAAGAAATGAACAAAAAAGGGATGGGTATTTCAAAAGGTTGACAGTTGCAGCAGGTGGGTGACTGAGGGGTGAAGTCAAGTTGACAAGTTGACGAGCTCATGGGCCACAAACTGTTTCAAGCGCTCCAGGTACTGTCCGTAGAGCTCGACGTCGTTGTGGCCGGCGCCCTCCACCCACAGGGGCTCCACGGGCCTCTGGCAGCGTTCGTACAGCGCCAGGCCGTGGGAGAAGTCGATCACCTCGTCTTCCGTCCCGTGGATCACCAGCACCGGCGACGTCACCTTGGAGATCTTGTCAATACTTTGGGAGGCAAGGCGAGGACAGATGCATGGACGCACCACAAACACACGCACAAAAGAGGAAGGGAACTGTTAGCAAGTTTAATTTCCAACCAATGATGAAACAGATGACATGAATAGGATTTAAAATAACCCAATGTGGCCATTTCAACAGCAGGCAGTTTACCCTTTTAGCCTTGTCAACAGTGCAATTCTCCATAACCTGGTGGCAACCAAGGACCACCAGGTGGACCTTTTGAGTCCAGAGTGACTCAAACATGACTGCTTTTATGCGCTGTGTGTGTGTGTGTGTGTGTGTGTGTATCTCTCTCACTTGGGAAAGGCATCAAAGCAGTAGGTTTTCTTGGTGTCTGGGAAGGCCACTCTCATGCCAGAGGTGAGGGGGGAGTGCAGGACGACCGCGGCGCTCTCGTAGCGTGCCGCCAGGTCCACGGACGGGACCGTACCGATACTCTGACCATAAACGATCACATTCTCTGGCCTAATACCGTACCTGAGGGGAGACACAACATCCTCGGGTTAAACATTATCAGCTACTCCGCATCAAGTTGGTAAATACCTAATATGTGATAATATGACTATGATGATAATATAGTCACAGTTATTCAGTCAGTCTCTATTGACATGATTCAGTCACTACTCAGGTTAGAAGTCAAGTGATCAGGAGGAAGTGGGAAGTCAAGGATAGGTGTGGGACCATTGACATGTCAATAAGGGGTGTGGTGGGACAAGCAGAAGACCATAGAAAAATGAATACACAGAGAGAAATAAAGAGATACAGAGATGTATACGTCGCTTTGGATAAAAGTGTCTGCTAAATGGCATATATTATAATAATAATAATAATAATAATAATAATAATAATAATAATAATAATGAGAGCGAGAAGTCCATAGCTGATTATAGAGAATGTGACCAACACAGCCAGTCAGCTGACGATCCCGGCTCTAAACCGCTGCAGGACTGAGCACAAACATCAGTTCTACCTAGCCCAGCCCAGCCTGTGCTGTACAACAGCACACGACACCTCTAATTGTTTAAATGTTTATTTTTATTTTTTATATTTCATCAATATATGAAGAGTATCTTTACCTACTAGCACCGACTTTGCTGAAAAATAGGCCTACTTTGTTGAAGGAAAAATGAACTTGATACGATTGTGTTATTGGCTCACCTAGCCAGTTTAAGATTAATGAACTAAAATCGTAAATCACTCTGATAAGAGCATCTGCTAAATGACTTGTTAAAAAAGTTGTCATGGAAAGAGCGGATCGTTGCCATTGGAACAACCTCATTTTCTGATTAATCAAATTCATCAATAACATGCAACTAGCAGGTTTCCAAAACATTTCCCTGAAGAAAAGTGAGTCAAAGAAGCTCTACAAAAACAAAGCATGGGTTGTGTTCATTTGGGCATGTAACAGAAAATGTTTTAAAACGTTTTGCAACAGAAATTAAAAGGAGTCCCTTCCCATTTCAGTCTGTTTTCTTCCATTTGGTGCATGATGAACACATACACCTTTTGTATTGAAGCTTCAGACATCCTCGGCCCCCAGCGACCTGCCAGTCAAATCCAGCCAGGCCAGGCTGTGTACACTGACCACAGAGTAGGTCATCCAACTGGTTGGAGTGTGGCAGCACAGGCATGTGATGGGGTGGAGGCTCACAGGAGGTCCCAAGAGGTCAAAGCCTTCCAATGGACTAGGTAGGCGTTTCCCCATTTGACAAGGTCCCATAGGAACTAACCTACATAAAAAGAACCAGAATCCTCAGATGTGGAATTTAAGCTCTTAAGGATCAGATCCTTAACATTATTATTTTTTTGCCTAAAATGACATACCCAAATCTAACTGCCTGTAGCTCAGGACCTGAAGCAAGGATATGCATATTATTGATACCATTTGAAAGGAAACACTTAGAAGTTTGTGGAAATGTGAAATTAATGTAGGAGAATATAACACATTAGATCTGCTAAAAGATAAACAAAAAAACATGCGTTTTCTATAATTGTTTTGTCCCATCATCTTTGAAATGCAAGAAAGGCCACAATATGGTCCCGTGTAGCTCAGTTGGTAGAGCATCGCGTTTGCAACGCCAGGGTTGTGGGTTTGTTTCCCACAGGGGACCAGTATGAAAAAAAATTAAAATGATGCACTCACTAACTGTAAGTGGCTCTGGATAAGAGCATCTGCTAAATTACTAAAATTTAAAATATAATATTGCAGTTTTGGCCCAATTTAGATTTTGGCCACTAGATGGCAGCAGTGTGTGTGCAAAGTTTCAGATTGATCCAGTGAAGCGTTGCAATACTGGACTATTTTGTATCAAGTCTGCCCAAATGTGCCGAATTGGTCAATTGATAAATTTTCAAGTACATAACTATAGAGAACATACAAAAATGATATGGTAATACCAAATGTAAGTTTACACACACCCAGGAATGTCATATATGATGGATCATTAGCTTATACACTAACTTTGACACATCTAGATGGCAGGGCGGGGTGGGTGTGGAGCCAGAGACAGCAGGGGTTCAAACTGTAGAACCCAGTTCCTACATTTGAATATAAAAATTGATTTTATCAAACAGAACTATGCTACATTTTATCTCTGGGACCCTTATGATGACAAATCGGAGCAATATTACTGAATGTAAGTACATTATTTACCTTCAGAGGTGAATGTATCAAACCAGTTGCCGTGATACGTTTGTTGTTGTTGTGCACTCTCCTCAAACCACAGCATGGTATTTGTTCACTGTAATAGCTACTGTAAATTGGACAGTGCAGTTAGATTAACAAGAATTTAAGCTTTCTGACCATATAAGACATGTCTATGTCCTGGAAAGTTTGCTGTTACTTACAACAGTCATGCTGATCACATTAGCGCACGTTAGCTCAACCGTCCAGTATACGGGACACCGATCCCGTAGAGGTTAAACTTCAGCCTCTTCTTTACAGGCAACTGTTCTGAGCAGCAGTACCTCAAACATTAGGCCTGGATTTCATCTTCAGCCTATATCAGATCCATCTAATCTAGTTACTGGTTTTACTGCCAGGCTATAACAGGCTGGCCAAAGCATAAAAGGTTGTCAAAACACTTGTTTATAAAAGTTAATCTAAAACATCTGCTATACAGTACAGTCAGGGACTGTAATATTAGTAGGTCAGGTGATATGAATGTGTGTGTGTGTGTGTTCTGCCATCCTTTCTCTCTGTCACCCCCACCTCGTATTCTCTAGGGTGGAACTCTACTCCACAACTTCTACTAGGGCTGACCCCAATTAGTCGACAGATTTTTTTAGTCAAGCAGTAGAAAATAAATAAATAAATAAATAAATAAATAAATAAATAAATAAATAAATAAATAAATAAATAAATAAATAAATAAATAAATAAATAAATAAATATATATATATATATATATATATACACACACACACTACCGTTCAAACGTTTGGGGTCACTTAGACATTTCCTTGTTTTCCATGAAAACATACATGAAATGAGTTTGAATAGGAAATATAGCAAAATGAATAGGAAATGTAGTCAGAGACAAGGTTAGAAATAATGATTTTTAATTGAAATAATAATTGGGTCCTTCAAACTTAGCTTTCGTCAAAGAATCCTCAATTTGCAGCAATTACAGCCTTGCAGACCTTTGGCATTCTAGTTCTCGATTTATTGAGGTAATCTGAAGAGATTTCACCCCATGCTTCCTGAAGCACATCCCACAAGTTGGATTGGCTTAATGGGCACTTCTTACGTACAATACGGTCAAGCTGCTCCCACAACAGCTCAATAGGGTTGAGATCCAGTGACTGTGCTGGCCACTCCATTATAGACAGAATACCAGCTGACTGCTTCTTCCATAAATAGTTATTGTATAGTTTGGAGCTGTGCTTTGGGTCATTGTCCTGTTGTAGGAAGAAATTTGCTCCAATCAAGCACCGTCCACAGGGTATGGCATGGCGTTGCAAAATGGAGTGATAGCCTTCCTTCTTCAAGATCCCTTTTAACCTGTACAAATCTCCCACTTTACCACCACCAAAGCACCCCCAGACCATCACATTGCCTCCACCATGCTTGACAGATGGCATCAAGCACTTCTCCAGCATCTTTTAATTTGGTCTGCGTCTCGCAAATGTTCTTCTTTGTGATCCGAACACCTTAAACTTCGATTTGTCTGTCCATAACACTTTTTTCCAATCTGCCTCTGTCCATTGTCTGTGTTATTTTGCCCATCTTAATCTTTTCTTTTTATTGGCCAGTCTGAGATATGGCTTTTTCTTTGCAACTCTGTCTAGAAGGTCAGCATCCCAGAGTCGCCTCTTCACTGTTGACATTGAGACTGGTGTTTTGCGGGTACTATTTAATGAAGCTGTCAGTTGAGGACCTGTGAGGCGTCTGTTTCTCAAACTAGACACTAATGCATTTGTCCTCTTGCTCAGTTGTGCACCAGGGCCTCCCAATCCTCTTTCTATTCTGGTTAGAGACAGTTTGCACTGTTCTGTGATGGGAGTAGTACACAGCGTTGTACGAGATCTTAATTTTCTTGGCAATTTCTCGCATGGAATAGCCTTAATTTCTTAGAACAAGAATAGACTGACGAGTTTCAGAAGAAAGTTCTTTGTTTCTGGTCATTTTGAGCCTGTAATCAAACCCACAATTGCTGATGCTCCAGATACTCAACTAGTCTCAAGAAGGCCAGTTTTATTGCTGTGTTTATTGCTTATGTTAGCTGTGCTAACATAATTGCAAAAAGGGGTTTCTAATGATCAATTAGCCTTTTAAAATGATAAACTTGGATTAGCAAACAACGTGCCATTGGAACACAGGACTGATGGTTGCTGATAATGGGCCTCTGTACGCCTATGTAGATATTCAGTGGGGGAAAAAAGTATTTAGTCAGCCACTAATTGTGCAGGTTCTCCCACTTAAAAAGATGAGAGGCCTGTAATTTTCATCATAGGTACACGTCAACTATGACAGACAAAATTAGGGAAAAAAATCCAGAAAATCACATTGTAGGATTTTTAATGAATTTGCAAATTATGGTGGAAAATAAGTATTTGGTCAATAACAAAAGTTTCTCAATACTTTGTTATATACCCTTGTTGGCAATGACACAGGTCAAACGTTTTCTCTAAGTCTTCACAAGGTTTTCACACACTGTTGCTGGTATTTTGGCCCATTCCTCCATGCACATCTCCTCTAGAGCAGTGATGTTTTGGGGCTGTCGCTGGGCAACACGGACTTTCAACTCCCTCCAAAGATTTTCTATGGGGTTGAGATCTAGAGACTGGCTAGGCCACTCCAGGACCTTGAAATGCTTCTTACATAGCCACTCCTTCGTTGCCCGGGCGGTGTGTTTGGGATCATTGTCATGCTGAAAGACCCAGCCACGTTTCGTCTTCAATGCCCTTGCTGATGGAAGGAGGTTTTCACTCAAAATCTCACGATACATGGCCCCATTCATTCTTTCCTTTACACGGATCAGTCGTCCTGGTCCCTTTGCAGAAAAACAGCCCCAAAGCATGATGTTTCCACCCCCATGCTTCACAGTAGGTATGGTGTTCTATGGATGCAACTCAGCATTCTTTGTCCTCCAAACACGACGAGTTGAGTTTTTACCAAAAAGTTCTATTTTGGTTTCATCTGACCATATGACATTCTCCCAATCCTCTTCTGGATCATCCAAATGCACTCTAGCAAACTTCAGACGGGCCTGGACATGTACTGGCTTAAGCAGGGGGACACATCTGGCACTGCAGGATTTGAGTCCCTGGCGGCGTAGTGTGTTACTGATGGTAGGCTTTGTTACTTTGGTCCCAGCTCTCTGCAGGTCATTCACTAGGTCCCCCCGTGTGGTTCTGGGATTTTTGCTCACTGTTCTTGTGATCATTTTGACCCCACGGGGTGAGATCTTGCGTGGAGCCCCAGATCGAGGGGGATTATCAGTGGTCTTGTATGTCTTCCATTTCCTAATAATTGCTCCCACAGTTGATTTCTTCAAACCAAGCTGCTTACCTATTGCAGATTCAGTCTTCCCAGCCTGGTGCAGGTCTACAATTTTGTTTCTGGTGTCTTTTGACAGCTCTTTGGTCTTGGCCATAGTGGAGTTTGGAGTGTGACTGTTTGAGGTTGTGGACAGGTGTCTTTTATACTGATAACAAGTTCAAACAGGTGCCATTAATACAGGTAACGAGTGGAGGACAGAGGAGCCTCTTAAATTAGAAGTTACAGGTCTGTGAGAGCCAGAAATCTTGCTTGTTTGTAGGTGACCAAATACTTATTTTCCACCATAATTTGCAAATAAATTCATAAAAAATCCTACAATGTGATTTTCTGGATTTTTTTCTCATTTTGTCTGTCATAGTTGACGTGTACCTATGATGAAAATTACAGGCCTCTCTCATCTTTTTAAGTGGGAGAACTTGCACAATTGGTGGCTGACTAAATACTTTTTTCCCCACTGTATATATATCCCCTTTTTCTTCCCAATTGTATGATATTCAATTATGATCTTGTCTCATCTCTGCAACTCCCCAACGGGCTCGGGAGAGGCGAAGGTCGAGTCATGCGTTATCCGATACATAACCCGTAAAACCGCGCTTCTTAACACCTGCCCGCTTAACCCGGAAGCCAGCCACACCAATGTGTCGGAGGAAACACTGTTCAACTGACGACCGAAGTCAGCCTGCAGGAGCCCGGCCCGCAACAAGGACTCACTAGAGAGCGATGACCCAAGTAAAGCCCCTCCGGCCAAACCCTCCACTAACCCGGACGAAGCTGGGCCAATTGTGCACCGGACTCCCGGTCACGGCCGGTTGTGACACAGCCTGGGATCGAACCCAGGTCTGTAGTGATGCCTCAAGATTTATGGGAAGATTATTCTATTTCATTAGATCTGCTTATATATTGTTGAGTAATTGAATAAAGTTGTCACTTATTAAGCATCCTAAGTATTCAATATTTTTTGTGGTCCACTTAAAAGGATTGCTGTAGATCGTGAGTTATTATTTTTCCTATTGCCATTATTGTTTGTTTCCATTTACATCCTGTGATTTGAGTATTCTGAAAATATTTTTTTTGCAAAGGGGGCATTGAGTTTTCAATACGAGTCAGGTATAATCTGGAGATAATCTCCAAATAAGTTTAGTTGATATTCATGTTTACCAATACCTGTTACATATGGGTCCTGTCTAATTCTTTCTGCAAGCAGTTCAATTGCCAGTGCAAACAGGAGGGGGGAGAGGGGACATCCCTGTCTTGTGCCCCTTTCTAAAGCGATTTCATCTGATAATGTATTAGTGTATATTTTTGCTTTAGGACATTTATATAATATTTTTATTTAATGTATTATTTCAGCTGGAAAGATAAACGCTTCCAAAGTTTTGAATAGAAAAGGCCATTCAAGAGGGTCAAAAGCCTTTTCGGCATCAACAGCCATTATTGATGAATCTCTTGTTTTTTTGCGTATTGCATTAAACCGAAATATGTTCCTGTATTTGCAAGTGTCTCTTTTTAATAAACCCTGTTTGATATGTATCAAGTCTGGTATGACTTTTGCCATTCTATTGCTTATAACCTTTGTTATCATTTTATTGTCAATTTATTCAACTTACGGGTCTCTAATCAGAAGGGGACTCCAGATTCTCCTGGTTTTAATATAACTTAAATAACTGTTTTATGCATGGAACTACTGAATTGAGTGACGTGTGTTGTCATTTGTGTAAAGAAGGGTCTACCTTGTCCCAAAATGTTGAATAGAGTTCTATGGGAAAGCCATCAAATTGTATTTCATGCCAATAATGCAATCTGCGAGAGAGGGGAGAGCGAGAGAAAACAAATACACATGTTATCTAGACACCGTTGCCCTAGATCCCACAAAGAACTATACCTACCTCGGCCTAAACAGTAACACCACAGGTAACTTCCACAAGGCTGTGAATGACCTAAGCGACAAGGCTAGAAGGGCCTTCTACCTTTGCCATCAAAAGGAACATAAAACTCAACATCCCAAATAGGATCTGGCAAAAAATCCTTCAATCAGTTATAGAACCCATTGCCATCTATTGTAGTGAGGTCTCGGGCCAAACACTAGGGCTGTGGTGGTCTTGGAATTTGAGGTTATGGTAATTGGCCAGGTTAATGTACACAGGGGGGGAGGTTACAATTCTGTTTGTACACTTGTATACGTTAAATGGTTCTTAATAAAACCTATTTGAAACAAGCCATTACACTGTGATTATCATGGCATTTCATTATTATTATTATTATTATTAAGGTTATTACTTATAAATATTAAATCAACAAATTAAGAAATGTCAGGTTGGAGAGGATCTGTCGCATTTTTGTATTGACAACATTAACTGAGTCAAAATAAAGATATGCCTACCTTGTCCTTCTCGGTTGGCTTTTCTGCATACCAAAAATTTTAAACAGATCCTATTTCGACGCACAAAATCATTCAAACGAAGTCTGATGGGTTTTGTCCCATCTTTCCCGAAATAGTCGCAAGAAGTACACTTATTGAGATAAATAATGTAGCCTAAGCTACTGAAAATATGCCTTTTATAAGAGCTAAATCATGACAGGAGCATTTTATTCTTATTAAAGAGATGGAGTCCAAACAGGCTACATTAGGAAACTTTCTGGATGGACATATAGAGAAAATCAGCGAACTCACACGCACCCACGTAAAAGCACGCACCAAAACCACAAGCGTATGTCAGACAAGCAAATGTTTATTCTTTCCTTAAAACATATTAAAAACACCTAGGCCTACCTTAGCCTACTTTCAGAAAGCCTATAAGATAATGAATTGACAAGGAAAGTATGAAGGGGACAGCTATGCTATAGTATGAAGATGAAATTGACAATGATTAAAATAGAAACAAATACACAAAACATGTCCATAGCCTATTTATCAGCGACGCTGATTATCGAGGAGGAGAGTGTTTGAAAGATTTTTCAAATACTGTGAGGAACAATTATAATTTGAATGGAGCTTTTAAAAAAATAATGACTGAGAAGCCCAGCTGGGCACTTTCCTACATTTGCGAGAAGTAGGCCAGGTACTTCTATGCATGCTCAGGTGCGTGCGTTCCGTCAAAATTAAGAGGACAGAGAAACCAGACATGCTTATTGCTCACACGTAGCATGTAAATGGTATGAAATAAATCAAAACTTGTTGCATATTAAACGGTCTTCATCCATCACAGTCAATTACATGGTTATTCAATTAAAGTCACAGCCCTAACAAACACCCAATTGAGACTGCATGCAGAATTCTGCAAAAATATACACAAAACACCAAACAATGCATGCAGTGCAGAATTATGACTATATCCGGTAGTTATCAAAATCCAGAAAAGAGCTGTTAAACTCTACAACCACCTAAAAAGAAAGCGATGCACACACATTCTACCACAAAGCCCTCACCTACAGAGAGATGGATTAATTTATAAAAGAGTCTCCTCAGCCAGCTGGTTCTGGGGCTCTGTTCACAAATACAAATAGACCCCACAGAGCCCCAGGACAACAACACAATTAGACCCAAACCAAATTATGAGAAAGCAAAAAGATAACAATTTGACACACTAGAAAGAATCAACCAAAGAAATAGCTAATTGGAATGCTACCTGGACCTAAACAGAGAGCACACAGTGGCAGAATACCTGACCACTGTGACTGACCCAAAATTCTTGAATATGTACAGACTCCGTGTGCATAACCTTTCTATTGAGTGAGGCACTTGGCTCTCGAGAGAAGACAGGTTTTGTGCCCGCTGCCCATAAAATGAGGGGGAAACTGATCTGCACTTCCTAACCTCCTGCCAAATGTATGACCACATTAGAGACACATATTTCCCACAGATCACATCGATTTGTTTTCAAATTCTTTGTTGGTCTAACATTCATAAAATCCCATATCTGTTTGCTGAAATACCGCAGTGTGCAATCACAGCAGCAAGATGTAGCCCGTTGCCATGAGAAAAAGGGCAACCAGTGGAGAACAAACATTGTAAATAGTAAATACCACCAATATTATCTGTTTACTTATATTCCCCTACTATTAGTACTACAACTACTAGCACATTGCTAAAACACTGTACATAGCGAATAATAGAACACTTGAAATGTATTTCTTTTTTAAAACCTTTTTTAGTGCAATATTTACTGTTAAGTTATATTTTTTTTTTGTTGATGTTGTTTTGTGTCTTCTCACTTTTGTTTATTTCACTTGCTTTGACAACGCAAACATGTTTCCCATGCCAATAAAGCCGCTTTGAATAGAATTTTAAGTGAGCGAGTCAGCGAGCGAGAAATAGAGCGAAATGGAGAGAGAGAAAGAGGAAGCGGAATAGAGAAAGAGAGAGACCGGGAGAGAGGAAGTAGGCTGTGCGAGCGAGAAAATGGAAGGGAAGAAAGAAGGGAAGAACAGAACTGACAGGAGAGATCAAGAAGAGGGAAGCGGTTAGGCTATAAGCAAATTGGGTCGTGTACTGTGTGTTCTGTACTCAGTCTTATTTTTCACTGAAGAGGACCTGCTGCTACGTACCCGACTGTACATTAGTAATAGCTGCTCTCTGTCCAGCTCCCAGCAGTGGAGGCTGCTGAGGGGAGGACGTCAGCAGCCTCCACTGGCTCCCAGTCATGTCAATCGGAACTGAAGATCGAGTGGTTACACTCAGACGGAGGACACTGCTGCCATTGTGTGCAGGGCATTGTCGTCCCATACCAAATGACGTTACGAACCACATGAGTTAATAAAACCACTTCCTGTGTGGGCTGCCCTGGCCTCTCCATGGTGTGTGTGGATCTAGGCTGCGTGTGTGTGTGTGGTCAATGCTGGAGAAGAGACCTTCATTTGGTCTACAATCAATAATATGATTGATCAGGAAGTTTGTCGTTTTCACTTCCTGGGGCACAGGCTGTTGCCGTGGTTGCAGTGGGTCTCAGTAGAGATCCTATAAAATTCTGGAGATCTGTTGCTAGGCTACCAGTCAATATTATACTTAGGATGATTGACTGCTGGAACACCTCCAAGTCCAAGTAAAAATACAATTATACAGCACTATTCTATAGGAGTTGACATCCCACACAATCACAGCAGGCTCACACTGAGAAAACAAAACAACCCGTTCAGGTCCAGAATCTCTCTCTCACGAACGGGTGTCAACAATTTCAAAAACAAACAAACTGTGTATACTACACACACTGAATGTGCCATCCCACTTTCGTACACAACAGATTCACACAATTTCGATTAACTGGTTCTCTCTCTCTAAGAGAGCAGATGGTGTTGCCGACACACCCAGGTGCTGGGCCTCAATGCCATAACACTGATACTGGCTGTATGCCCTATACCCTGGGACAATATGCAACAATAAAGTGTGCGTGTACCGGCAAAGCTGTCTGCTGACGGTGTGGGACACACCTGACTCATGACTGAGTCACCCGTCTACTCAGGTAAAAGACTTGACCTCACCCTGCACCAGAACAAAAAAGGAACATACAGTACACACACACTAGGGCTGTCCCCGACTAAATAAAATCTTAGTCGACCAAGAGTCATCTGTTCTTTCGACCAATCGGTTGGTTGACATTTTTTTAATGTGTATTTTTCGCATGTGACAAAACACCTTTTAGCACGGGACTAGTATTACTAGAGAACGTTGGTTATGTAATTATTTATCCAGAATGTCCGTTATTCCAGAGGACGATTCGGAAAGGATTTTTTATTATTTTTTTTCCCAAACTGCCCCCTGTAATTCTTATTTTTGTTCAATAAATTGACAGTTATGACGGAAGCCTGGAGGTTTTTATTCTAGGAATGAAGACACAGTATTCCAACATGTCCAGGTGATAGGGCCACACTGATAACTCGAGATTGGTTCCCAGGTTTTGAAATCATCTTTGGTATAGTGTCGCCATAATATTTGAATTGAGGAAGTGTGATCATAATCATTAGGATATTTTGGTGAGCCTCATTACGTCCTAAATGCCCCCCAGCCTTCAGATGTCAGCTAAACAGTGCAATTGCACTTGAGATGCGTTTTAAGGCTATGGATGAGAAAGTTAATTTATCATTTCCAAACATTTAGGTTAGTTGTATACTGCTTTGCGATCTATTAACAGCAAGGGTTGCATTAAATAGGCTTAGGATATTTTACTGATGCATTTGGCAATATTCAATTCATACGCACAAAACATAAAAACAAAAGCATTCACTGTGAAAGTTGATAGGCTACATGTAGGCCATTCACAAAGTATATGCGCAGCACTTAGTTAAATTTATCGAATCAGTTAAAAGTATATGCGCGCAAACCGCGAGCAACCCCTTTCAAACTCAGACATTTCTCTCAAAACACAGGGATGTCGATTTGCAACGGACTAGTATTAACAAAGGACCTTGGCGTTGGCCAAAAAAACAGTAGGTTATTCTGGCTGGAATTGTCACTCTTCTGCCATGTAAAAATTACTGACATGGCAGATTCGGACGGGACTAAAATTACACGTGGTGTTTTGTGCTCTTGCACATAATTACATTACATTACCCGACCTCCCCCAGTAAAACTAATCCCGTCCAAATAGTGCACAATAGGGCCTGACCAATAGCATATCATAATCACATCTGGAGCAGGTTTTCATCAAGGATCTCGCTGTACTTTGCTCCGTTCATCTTTCCCTCCATTTTTTACTGAGGAGTGGCTTCTGTCTGGTATTGTGTGTAGATTGATGAGGAATACACATTATTTAATCAATTTTAGAATAAGGCTGTAACATAACAAAATGTGGAAAAAGTAAAAGGGGTCTGAATACTTTACGAATGCACTATAATTAAGTTTGGGTTTCTTCACTCTTCATTTGTGTTATATAATAACGCAAGGGCAGTTGTCTCATCAACTCATTCTGTTGCTGCCTCCGCCGCATTGTTCTCAAAACCAATATGCTGGTTAACTTCGTTATTATGCACATAGCAACATGGTCTAGGAAAAGGCACCAATTCAACAGCGCACTGATGTGTTTCAGAACTGTGGACAGCGACCACTATCCAACGCGGGAGAAAGCACATTTGTCATAAAATAATAATATGTTTTTATTAGTGTTGCACCATTGTTCTTATGTAATATAACAATATATAATTTCATTAGCACGTCTTAGACTGATGGACTGTGCCATCCCCACGGCCACCACAATTGATCAGTCCACTCAGACAGGAGCGAATCAGACAGGTGATCAGACCATGATCTTATTATATTATACTGCTCGACTACAGAAATCTCGGTCGACCAACACCTGATCTACCAACACATTTTTTTTTTGACTAAATGGGGTCAGCCCTAACACACACACACACACACAATAACAGAGAAGACCATTCAGTCTTTCCAGCCCTTATTTAACTTGCATGAGAAACTCACATAAAATGGACAGCGACAGGATGCTAAAGGGAAGACATGCTAAGATTGGGTGGGTGGTGTCCAGATTTCAATACATTCATACCACATATTTCCCCGGATGTATAAAATGTGAAGCATCCGGTTGGCATTTCCACTCACTACCAAATATTGTGATGAGAGGAAGCCCAGTGGCAGGCAGTGGGAGAAGACTGAGCGAGATGGATTTTGTCCGACTGCTAATTTTCTCAGATGAAACATTTGATCTCCATACAGTGTCGTGACGTGACTAACATTAGCCTAATCTGAAGACTGTTCTCTAATTAACTAACTGTTTAATTGTTACCCGTTTAAATTAATCATGTAACAATTAACTCATTAGGATTTGGGGCACCCCGAGAGCAGTTCTTTAAAGAGTTACCATCTCCCGAATTAAACTCTAAAAAAGGTCTTTACCTATCACATCTATAAACAGTCAACTTATTAATCATAACCTCGTATCATATCATCATTCTGAACGTTGTAACCTCCTTGCATCTGCAAAAACCCGACCCTTACTTATGATTCAGTACTACACAAATTGGTTTAATTATTTACTAGTTAATTAAATGGGAACACAGGGTAAACATACACACTCTGCACCGGTTATTGACTGGAGAAAACAGGTCCCTAGTGGAATGACAGCATGGCTTGTTAGGGGGGGAGAGACAGAGACACTTAACCTTGATACATTCAGAAACCACTCAACTACAGTACCCATATACCTTGCACACGAACCGCCGCCCACATTGAGTTAGAAATCATGAATGTATTTACATGAAATGTCTTAGTTCGCCGGGAATCTCTCGGTGAAGCGGGCTGCCTTGGAAAGGGGTTGGGCCTTTTCGCGGCACGCTTGTAAGGCTCTTGTCCAAAATGGTTCAGAATGTCCTTCATCGTAGTTGACAAGTCATTGGAGACTGGACATGTATTCTGAACAGAACTACATAATTGATTTACCTTCCCGTCGCTCTGGAAGTTGCTTCTTTGAAGATAGGCTAGCCAGCCGTATAGATGGTTCCCCAGTGGGGTGATGAGAGTAGCGTAATAAGATGGTTTGAGCCGAGTAGCAGATTGTCCTACTTAAATTCGCTTTCGAAGGTACCATACTTAGGACAGCTAATCAGCCGTACCAGTGATTGTCTGGGAGGTGAGTTTATTCTCTCCACCTCATGTTGAGATTCAAAGTTCAAACGTGTAGCTGCCGCTTTCACGTTTTCTGGTCTGATATGTTAATTCATAACCCATCCTTTTATACACTCTGCTCGAAAGGGCCGGTTCCGTCAGGATGACACACTCTCTGACCTCACTCGGGGGCATGACTGCTTACTGTGCAAAGCTTATGGAAAACAATTATCTCTTACAGTGGGGAGAACAAGTATTTGATACACTGCCGATTTTGCAGGTTTTCCTACTTACAAAGCATGTAGAGGTCTGTAATTTTTTATCATAGGTACACTTCAACTGTGAGAGACGGAATCTAAAACAAAAATCCAGAAAATCACATTGTATGATTTTTAAGTAATTCATTTGCATTTTATTGCATGACATAAGTATTTGATCACCTACCAACCAGTAAGAATTCCAGCTCTCACAGACCTGTTAGTTTTTCTTTAAGAAGCCCTCCTGTTCTCCACTCATTACCTGTATTAACTGCACCTGTTTGAACTCGTTACCTGTATAAAAGACACCTGTCCACACAGTCAAACAGACTCCAACCTCTACAATGGCCAAGACCAGAGAGCTGTGTAAGGACATCAGGGATAAAATTGTAGACCTGCACAAGGCTGGGATGGCCTACAGGACAATAGGCAAGCCGCTTGGTGAGAAGGCAACAACTGTTGGTGCAATTATTAGAAAATGGAAGAAGTTCAAGATGACGGTCAATCACCCTCGGTCTGGGAATCCATGCAAGATCTCACCATGTGGGACATCAATGATCATGAGGAAGGTGAGGGATCAACCCAGAACTACACGGCAGGACCTGGTCAATGACCTGAAGAGAGCTGGGACCACAGTCTCAAAGAAAACCATTAGTAACACACTACGCCATCATGGATTAAAATCCTGCAGCGCACGCAAGGTCCCCCTGCTCAAGCCAGCGCATGTCCAGGCCCGTCTGAAGTTTGCCAATGACCATCTGGATGATCCAGAGGAGGAATGGGAGTAGGTCATGTGGTCTGATGAGACAAAAATAGAGCTTTTTGGTCTAAACTCCACTCGCCGTGTTTGGAGGAAGAAGAAGGATGAGTACAACCCCAAGAACACCATCCCAACCGTGAAGCATGGAGGTGGAAACATCATTCTTTGGGGATGCTTTTCTGCAAAAGGGGACAGGACGACTGCACCGTATTGAGGGGAGGATGGATGGGGCCATGTATCGCGAGATCTTGGCCAACAACCTCCTTCCCTCAGTAAGAGCATTGAAGATGGGTCGTGTCTGTTCTTCCAGCGTGACAACGACCCGAAACACACAGCCAGGGCAACTAAGGAGTGGCTCCGTAAGAAGCATCAAGGTCCTGGAGTGGCCTAGTCAGTCTCCAGACCTGAACCCAATAGAAAATCTTTGGAGGGAGCTGAAAGTCCGAATTTCCCAGCGACAGCCCCGAAACCTGAAGGATCTGGAGAAGGTCTGTATGGAGGAGTGAGCCAAAATCCCTGCTGCAGTGTGTGCAAACCTGGTCAAGACCTACAGGAAACGTATGATCTCTGTAATTGTAAACAAAGGTTTCTGTACCAAATATTAAGGTATGCTTTTCTGATGTATCAAATACTTATGTCATGCAATAAAATGCAAAATTAATTACTTAAAAATCATACAATGTGATTTTCTGGATTTTTGTTTTAGATTCAGTCTCTCACAGTTGAAGTGTACCTATGATAAAAATTACAGACCTCTACATGCTTTGTAAGTAGGAAAACCTGCAAAATCGGCAGTGTATCAAATACTTGTTCTCCCCACTGTATAGCTTTCTCAAATCACATCCCTATCTTAAAAATACTTTCATCCTTTTTCATATTACATGCACAATGCATAGGATGGACACTTCGTACATATAGTGGGTATACTTTCGAAGTTACAGTATTTCCTTTATAGCATTTTTAATAACATCACAAAATAACAACCAATATGACATTAGTGTCCAACCATTCCCCACGTTCTATGTTAGAAATATTGTTCCAGTATTCGCTTTTGAACGTGTTAAAGTTTCAGCGGGAAAAAGTCTGTTAAACAAAGACATTCCTTTGGGGATCTTGAGAGGGAGAGCCTGGGCCTTCTCCCTTGATTTACGACAGGGTGTGAGCTGTTAACCCCCCCTCTACGGGTGAGAGGGGGTCTGATTGAAGTTATTAATTGCAAACCTGATCTGACCTATTTGAATTCTCGTTGACTGTCATGACACAGTTTTCTGTTTCCAAAACTAGAATCTGTAACAAACAGAGTGGACTGCGTTTTGTAGACTTTACCCTCTGCCAAAGTTTCAGTTCATTTTAGTTTAGAAAGGCAAATTGAGTTATTGCACACGCAAACTTCGGAATATGAGTTCCCTAACTGAAATATGCAAATAAATGATAGAACGCGCCAATAGAATCTCCCTAGCTCGTGCTTGCCTCTGCCCACCTCCTTACTTGTTCTGCCGACTTTGATTCATTTGCTCCCATTGGAAACGACAGGCTCTGGTCCATCTGGGTTAGCTATAAAAATCTTTGTTCATACCGTGCCTGTGGCATCCCAGGATATACGGTATTACCAGCAGTGCACACAAGGGGCGCAATTATATGTCCAAAAAACATTAGTTAGCAAGATGGTAACAAAATGCTAGCAAGTACTAAGGAATTCCCATAGCGGATGCTAGGTAAATGCTAACGAGCGGATGCGAACATTAACTACTAGGATAGACAACCCAGCTCATAAAGTTATGCAAGTATCTAACGCAATTTGCAGCACTCAAAAAAACAAATAGACATCAGATCTTAATCCAGGAGGGGATCGTCTCTGCTGCTGTTACCAAGAAGCTTGATCTTGCAAGCTAACTTTAGCCACTTAGCTAACAAGTTAGCAAAACCCAGCTGGAGAGAATGTATTTGGTACATCTTAGATAGCTAACTTAATAGTGAAGATATATAGCTGGCAAACATTAGTAGTGAATTTCATAAAAGTGTAACTTGATCACCTTTAGTTGCGCTGCAGGAGTGACTCACCTCACAAAGCTCTCATTTTGCTTGTTGTGCTTTTTTGTAAATACACACGTGACTGGGAAACTAGTATTGGTAAGCTTCATAATGAAAAATAATCTAACAGGTGAACTGATGAACACGATCAGCTTTATCTATTACCTAGCGCACAAGTTGACTGCAGGTATTTATAAAAAATACAAATATTCACATTAATAAAACAAAAAAAAACAAATAATGGTATTGAAAATCATACCAGGGATATTTGTAATACCCCAGGATACGGTATATAATGTATACTGCCCAACCATAAGACGCACAAGCACCTTATTTCAGATATGACCTGCAGTCAACCACAGGCCAAACACACTCATGTAGGGATTCAAGTCCATAGAGATCCTATTAAATTACTAGAGTACTCTAACTCTTAATTCTATGGTCAAGTCTATCATATCTGCATCAAAGAAATGTACGGGTTTCCCCACTCTGTCTGAACCCAGTGAGTTTAGTTGTGACTGTTTGCATCATTGTGATCAGATGATTGACAGGCAACAAGAGACAGAACATGTCTCTGTTAAGTCAAACACGGGGCAGTGAAACACACCAAGATGAACCATGTGACTTAAAAAGGAGGCCAGGGCTCCCTGTAAAATGGAGAATAACATCACATGCCGTGTGGATACTTGGGGCAGGCAGTGACATGGAGGCTGCAGGGTGAGGAAGATCCCCATTGCACTGATCTGACGTCTGTGTCTTTTTGCCCTCTTTGTGGTTTCAAATAAGACTTCCGGGAGGGGTGGGCTTATCTTGGATCTGCCATTAGGGGCATCTTCTACCATGAGGGTGTCAGTCAGTTTGGCAATTATGGATCAAAACTGACATGGATCTTTGGATTACCAGTGGATGAGTGGCATAGTGCGGCAGAACCTGGCATAGATTTGAGGTGGAATACAATGTGACGTTGGAAACAGCAATCACTGGCCATTTGAAAAAGTGTAGGGACTGAAGCACTCAAATCGGGCACAGAGCTAGGCTATACTAAGCCTTGGGCCAAATTAAAAGTAGCACAGCCTCGTCTGGCTTGATAGTGGAAATTAGGCTATTGTCAATCAACAGGGACTACAAACCCCACCACCCATGTCGTGCTGTCTCGAGGTTCTCCTCTCCGCTTCTGACCAATGGAAGCCCACGTTGGTAGATGGGATGCCAGTGCTTTCACTGTTGATGCTGCTGCCTTCTTCATACTTAATGAGATCTGTTATGGAATTTGCAATGCAAAGAGGAACCGTCTGTCCCACAGACGTGTCCAAACTACTGTAGCCTTAAGGCATGGAAACAGGCAGTGACTATACTCTTTTTTTTCTCTCTCTTTTTTAAAAGTTATTTAGCAGACGCTCTTATCCAGAGCGACTTACAGTTTAGTGAGTGTGAAAATTTTTCATACTGGCCCCCCCCCCCGTGAGAATCGAACCCACAACCCTGGCGTTGCAAGTGCCATGCTCTACCAACTGAGCTACAGGAGGCCTACTCCTCACTCATGTGCAGTTTAGCCTAACACTATGCCAGAGAGAAAGCTCTGCTTATCTGTGTCACATTACTGGAGCCATAAATCAGATTGATGGTCCTTCAATACTGGCCTCCTGAAAATGTTCTACTTTATCTATGTAGCTACACCGTAGCAGTAAATTTGGACAGAAAACAAGCAAACACCTCTAATAGCTTCTCATGGTACAGCCATGTGAATCCAGGCTGCCCACCCAAAACCCCAGTTAATCCTTAAGAGTCTATTGATGCACATGTGCGTCAATTTAAGTAACATAATGAAAGAATCCCCATACAAATCTGTCCGTTTAAACTAGAGATACCTGGTATTTTGCATGGGCTGCGTCTCAATCCACCGCATCTACCTACGTCGGCCTTCCGCATCTGTGGTGGAAGGTGGCCGAGCTACATCGGTGTTTGTCAGACCATGAGACATCCCGAAAATTGGTCTTCTCAACAATAACGTCTGTAGCGTAAATATTACATCATCATAGGTAATATTTCATAATATATTCTAAATTGGGGCAAACAAATATAGCACAAATAAAGACAATGGGAATTTGGCTCCAACACTAAGTTCCTCCCCAGTTAGGCCTAGTTAATAAATAGGTAGCTAGCCTATATGATGGGCAGGTGTGTCTGTGCAACTGTAAGAAAAGCCCCCATTCATTTCTATAGATACATTTTTGGGGTCCAATACAGATTCCAATTTTTTGGGGGGGGCCAAAACTTACAGATAACAATTTCTGCCGATATACTGTTTAACAGCGTGGAAATTAAAGTGACATTTCTCCACACTGAGTTCTCAAATATTGTCATCCAAAAGAGTAACTGTCCAAGAAATATGCTTCAAATGTTTTCTTAAATTGTGACAATGACATTATGCGAATGGCCGCAAATAGTTCAGATAAGCATGAAATTCCCTTTTTTCATCCTATGTAATGAATATCGGTTATTGGTGTAATTGTTGCCCGATATCAATCTATTGGTAAGAGGTCAATATCATCTGATAATATCGGTGAAACAATATATCGGTCAGGCTCTACCAAAAGCCGCAGTATAATTCAAACCCTGAAAAATAGCATCATAACAGAGACAGTAGCAGCTACAAAACAGAAATCAGTGTGCAGTATATGAATCCGATTTCAAAAGCAGCAGCAAATCAGGTCAGCGTGTCCAAGAAACAAACTGTTGGCTAGCACAGCAATATAAGGATTGTGTAATTTACAATCCAATGCTCATTCTCTTCCATCTATCTCTAACCCCACCCCCGGGCATTCATCCTCCTCGATCGGAGGATCATTTGATCAAGCCTGATTCTGTTGACCATAATGAAATGTAAAAACTGGTTTTCTGATCCGGTCACAGGTGGCAGTGTGTGTGTGTTTCTACAGGACTGTGGTTGTTTCATTAGTGTGTGTGTGTGTGTGAACAAGACAGACAATAGGAAACGTCGCACACAAAGGACAAGAACAGAGCAGCCTCCAAACACACACAGTGTGGTAATATGTGTAGGAGGGAGATCAGCAACAGAAGAGAATGGCTACAGTCAAACGGATTCGAGTTTTGCTGGACAACCAGACAGACATCTGAAACCCTACCTCTTCAAAGAGTATCTCCTCCTCACCCAAAAAATATTTTAAAAAATACTAATACAAAAAAACTTAACCAGAACTTGCACTTGACCCATCCCTTCTAGCGTTGACTCTACTGATAGCTACATTGAGGAAAATGTTACTTTCTATGCCTGTGATATGTGGTTGTCCCACCGAGCTATCTTAAGATGAAGGCACTAACTGTAAGTCGCTCAGGATAAGAGAGTCTGCTAAAATGACTCAAATGTAAAAGTTGTAGCAGTCAGACAGGTTTCTCAGCCCTAGCTACAGTATTACCTGCTGTATGTAGACTAGTCTCTGTATGGTAATAGTTTCCTGTTTAACTTTACTCTCAGACTTCCCCAAAGGGGGCCTATTATATGAAGGACCACTTATTCTAGTCAATGTCATCACGGTGGGCAATTTGGGCCCAAGTGGCACTCTGTGTTAGTCACTCTATTCTGTCTTTCGACATTCCTTCCCTTCTCTGACTCATTTGTTGCTTTGTCATCATGATGCAGGAAATAAATCTGGATTAACTTTTATTTCACCCCACAAAAACTGTGCATAAACAAAGCCACAAACTAAATATTCAGCCAAAACATCGTGCACATGCGCAGACACAGGGAAGCTGTGTGTGTGTGTGTGTGTGTCAGTATGGGACCCAGAGCAGAGCTGTCAGCAAGAGAAAACACACTGGGGAGGGGATGTCATAGAGGACAAAGGGAGGAATAGAGAAGGGAGAGAGATGGGAGTGTTGAGAGTAGAGGTTACATGGGGATCAATTCATTGCGATGGATAAATGGATGGACGGAGGGCCAAAGGGACCGCTAGAGGAACCCATGAACAGAAAACCATTGCCTAGTGGGCGGACAAGTAGAGGGTGTAGGAAACAGCCCCTAGCCTACACATTTTCAAACATCATTCAATGAAAACGAAAAAGAAAAGCTGTCCCCACCTCGCTTTCCAACCAAGGGCGTGTAAGCCATGGAGCGAGCTGAAGGTGGAAAGATAGTCAACAACTCTTAGTAGGACACGTCAACGTCACAGACATCTTTGCCATCTCACCCCACCATCGCCTCCCACATCCGCCCCCCTGGTCCCCTTACTTACCGTGTCCTGAGGGAGTGCCAGGCGGCGTCCACATCGGCGTACAGGTTCTTTTCCGAGGGTTTCCCCGAGCTGGCCCCGTAGCCCGAGTAGTCGTAGGAGAAGACGTTGCAGTTGATGCGTGAGCCCAGGCCGATATAGAAGCTGCTCATCTGGCCCAGGTCCACGGCGTTGCCGTGCGAGAAGAGGAGTGTGAAGCGGGCACTGGGTGAGCAACGTACAAACATGCAGGCGATGCGGTTGCCACGTGAAGTGCGCGTCATGAAGCACTCGATGGCGTCCTTCTCACGTGCCGAGTACTGCCAGTCTGCGCGCTCAGAGAGGTGCAGGGTCCAGCGGCTTCCGCTCTCGTCACACATGAGGGTGTAGGTGGGCTCCGGGGGCAGGAAGGCCAGCTTGGAGGCGATCTTGCTGGGGCATGGAGGGCAGCAGAATAGGCAGCACAGCTCACTCAGGGACAGGTGGTTCATCCTCAAAAACTGCTGGGGTAAGGGGGGGGGGGGGGGGGGGGGGGGGGGGGTTGAGAGGATACATTACCATTTACTACCTTTACTGCTTATCATTCACTATTACTAAAAGGTATCATTGACGTGGCGCATTAAGTAGCCTAAACTAGCATGATCTCCCAAAGACTGAGGACAAATGAAAGAGGGTTTAAGGTATGCGCGCATACATGTGGTTAGGTTAATTGTACACGTCATGTCTCATATGCACACCCCAGTTATTGATGGCCATTTTGAAAATATGCTCAGACACACTGACACACAGCTGTGACTCACAGCTGAGTCACTCCACAAACATACCAACAACAGACCATGAGCCACACATGTTAAAGCGTATCACCAGATTTCACCTCTGCTTAGACTCTCTATATCTGATAGACAGAAACCCCCTATCTAAACACGTTGAGGGTAAACATGTATTTCTGGTTCTGCGAACCCTGGGAATCAAGTCGACCTCGAGTGTTTAGGCTACTAGGTTGGTGTGCAGGGATTCTCAAAGCTCTCTACCCACCCTGTCAGACATCTTGTTAAGTGGGAAATACACATGAACTCCCCTAGGCCTGCCCTTAACTCAAAGCTGGTTTTACATACACTATTGATTCCCTTCTGCGTGTATGGCTTTCCTTGGCTCCGGGATCATTCGACAGCTATAGTACTGATGAGCATTTATTCTGTCTGCCTCAAAGTTTATTGCTACGCTGAGTACAAAGTGTAACTTTTCCGATGCCTCCTCGGTCCCAGGCTAGCGTTCAGAAATAACTTTTAGTTGGTTTGATAAGAGCCTGTTGGTCAGCATCTTTGTGATTATCTGTCTGCATTGCATGTTGTTTCAATGATGCCATATCAACATTTCCCTCTGATAACACCATAGCAATTTCCCCAATGTCTTCTGTGAACCACACATGCTTTAAGAAAATAGATGTGTCATTTGTATTCCTTCTCACTGAGACTTGGAAATGTATGTTTCTCAATCTCCAGTCCACGGACCAGCATCAATCCCTGGGTCCTGACTGGTCCATTTAGTCAGTTCTCAAGTGCTAATTTTAATGTAAGCCATTCCCTCCCACTATCCTGTTGCCTAGTCACTTTATCTCTACCTATACGTATAGTTGAAGTCAGAGGTTTACATGCACCTTAGCCAAATACATTTAAACTCCGTCTTTCACAATTCCTGACATTTAATCCTAGTAAAAATTCCCTGTCTTAGGTCAGTTAGGATCACCACTTTATTTTAAGAATGTGAAATGTCTGAATAATAGTCAAGAGAATGATTTATTTCAGCTTTTATTTCTTTCATCACATTCCCAGTGGGTCAGAAGTTTACATACACTCAATTAGTATTTGGTAGCATTGCCTTTAAATTGTTTAACTTGGGTCAAACGTTTTGGGTAGCCTTCCACAAGCTTCCCACAATAAGTTGGGTGAATTTTGGCCCATTCCTGCTGACAGAGCTGGTGTAACTGAGTCAGGTTTGTAGGCCTCCTTGCTCGCACACGGTTCTTCAGTTCTGCCCACACATTTTCTATAGGATTGAGGACAGGGCTTTGTGATGGCCACTCCAATACCTTGACTTTGTTGTCCTTAAGCCATTTTGGCACAACTTTGGAAGTATGTTTGGGGTCATTGTCCATTTGGAAGACTCATTTGCGACCAAGCTTTAACTTCCTGACTGACGTCTTGCTTCAATATATCCACATAATTTTCCTTCCTCATGATGCCATCTATTTAGTGAAGTGCACCAGTCCATCCTGCAGCAAAGCACCCCCACAGCATGATGCTGCCCCCCCCCGTGCTTCACTGTTGGGATGGTGTTCTTCGGCTTGCAAGCCACCCCCTTTTTCCTCCAAACATAACGATGGTCATTATAGCCAAACAGTTATATTTTTGTTTCATCAGACCAGAGGACATCTCTCCAAAAGGTACGATCTTTGTCCCCATGTACAGTTGCAAACCGTAGTCTGGCTTTTTTTATGGCGGTTTTGAAGCAGTGGTTTCTTCCTTGCTGAGCGGCCTTTCAGGTTACTGTGGATATAGATACTTTTGTACCAGTTTCCTCCAGCATCTTCACAAGGTCGTTTGCTGTTGTTCTGGGATTGATTTGTACTTTTCGCACCAAAGTACGTTCATCTCTAGGAGAAGAGGCACTGAGTTTGAAGGTAGGCCTTGAAATACATCCACAAGTACACCTCCAATTGACTCAAATGATGTCAATTAGCCTATCAGAAGCTTCTAAAGCCATGACATCATTTTCTGGAATTTTCCAAGCTGTTTAAAGGCACAGTCAACTTAGTGTATGTAAAGTTCTGACCCACTGGAATTGTGATACAGTGAATTATAAGTGAAATAATCTGTCTAAACAATTGTTGGAAAAATTACTTGTGTCATGCACAAAGTAGATGTCCTACCCGACTTGCCAAAACGATAGTTTGTTAACAAGAAATTTGTGGAGTGGTTGAAAAACGGGTTTTAATGACTTCAACCCAAGTATATGTAAACTTCCGACTTCAACTGTATCTACCTCAATTACCTCGTACCCCTGCACATAGACTCTGTACTGGTACCCCGTGTATATTGCCAAGTTATAGTTACTGTGTATTTATTCCTTGTGTTTTTATTTTTCTATTATTTACTTTTATTTACATTACATTTACATTTTTGTCATTTAGCAGACGCTCTTATCCAGAGCGACTTACAGGAGCAATTAGGGTTAAGTTTTATGTTTGCATTGCTGAGAAGGGGCATTAAGTAAGCCTTTCACTGTTAATCTAAACCTGTTATGTAAAAAGCATGTGACAATTAAAATGTTATGGTGAGTGTGTTTTAATATCCAGGTTATAGGTCAGAAATAACCTGGAAATAATGTATTAAGCTAATTTTATGATTAAAAAAAGGGGGGGAAACTGTCTAATTCACACATAGCCTTCCATAGTCTATTTTCGTATTGGGGGGAGGCAGGAATCATGCTCAGATGTTGAAATACATGTAGTTATGACGATTTTAAAACCACTTTTCTACAGTCTGGGCTATTGCCCAAGTCGAGCAATTGAGATTCTAGGGGACCCCAAATAACGTCACATCGTCGATGAGGGTTTGTTTTAAAGACTAACGTTACAGTACCCAAAAGGCCTGGCTACAACGTTAGCTAGCCTAACGTTACCTGATACATTTAGCTAGTTAGCTATAACGTTAACTAACAGAGGCACTTTTGATTTCTGAATCCCTGGAGGTGTTTGCCAGAATTGCATCGTATCGATTAGCGAAAACAAATCGTAGGGCTCATCTTAAATGAACAGTCGCACAGTGCTCGCAAAGGTACAGAAAACATCGGTAACTAGCAGCTAATTTACGTTATTAGTTAACTAACTAACAAACACCGGCAATAATGTTTAAGCTTTGATAAACTGGCAACCCGAAGAGGATCACACGCACACATACCTGGTTACTGGTAATGTCACGGGTTGTAGTTAACGTCTGAACAAGCCAGCTGATGATGGAAAAACAGCTAACTAGACAAAAGTACAGGTAACTAGTTAACGTTAACCAGGCAGGTTGACTCGAATATCCATTCGCTCCCCCTCGTCCACTCTCTTAGATAGGTAGTTATAGGGTAACGTTAACTAGCTATGTATCTTCATGACACTTGTAAGACTCCCAAACCAAGCTCCGACTGCTTGCCACTCAATCTTGTCAACATGTGGTCCGGATGATAACTGAATTGCCTCCACAAGATTTACGTAAACAAATATGCTATATAATGTTGACTGACATAGTCACAGATTTCAACCCTTGTAGCTAGCCCAGTGTCGCTCGACGTCTTCTCTTCAAGCCTAGGAAACCGACCATGGAAAAAATCGATACCACAGTGGCGAGGTGATGATTGCATTGGCTTATAAGAAAGCCAATTAGAAACTACAATGTCTAACAGAGACCAATCAGATTACTCAAGGCGGCGTTTGCCGCGTTGAAAAGAACTAACCCCACTGGGCGGATTCGATTATAATGAGCCGCGAGGCACCGGGCATTGTCCGTCACGTCATCAGACGAAAGCGGGGAGGGAGGCGCGCCCTTCTCAAATCGAACAGTAATCTGCGCCGCTCCGTCACTTTGTCAACAAGGCAGCGTGGTGGATCGTCCAGAAACATACAACATATATTTTCCATGAAATAAATGTTTGATTTTTCAAACTAGTTTTCATTGGAAATGCAGATAAAGCGTTATTTATCAAAAGCAATCCTTTTGCATGGGAAACACAGAATCCTAGTAATTACTCCACGTGCATAATTACGTCACTTTAGTTTTGAGCGGATTTTGCAGTGGTCTTTGAAGGGGGCACCTGGCTCACGCCCGGGAGGCAGCCATAACAAATCGAATGCAATCACCTTTCAACCATTAGAAAAACACGCCTACACCGGCGCCCGGTGGGATTAATCGAACCCCATCCCTGGGAACTAATGCCGCCTTTAAAACAACTGGAAACTCGGAAATCTCCGACTTCAGTAGCCTACCTTCAAAACAACAGGGAACTCGGAAAATAACTAGCTCCGACTGGGAAAAATCATTTTGAACGGTCAACCCGGAATTCCAATTCGGAAACTCGGCCATCTTTCTAGAGCTACGACTATCCGACCTGAAGATCACTGACGTCATGATTTGACCTCGTTTTTGTCTGTGTTCCCAGTTGTCTTGAAAGCACCATTAGAGCTTCAATTTTGGATTACATAATTATTTACATTTTATGCGGACTGGTGATGAGGAAAATGCTTTATCTAAAAGGGAAAGTGTCAATACAACATTTCAATTAGAACAACAAAATATTATCATGTGGCTTTCTATGCTACACTACATGAGACCAAAAGTATGTGGACACCTGCTTGTGGAACATCTCATTCCAAAATCATGGGTATTAATATTTTGTTGCCCCCCCCCCCCCCCTTGCTGCTATAACAGCATCCACTCTTCTGGGAAGG